TTGTTCTGTCAAATGGAATCATAATGAAACACAGTAAGCTTTGCAGCAAAATGGCAAAGTATATAAAGAAGTTTAAACAGTAGGAATACTTTTGAGAATCAATGTGGCAGTGAGAAACTGAGTGCCCACTGAGATAAGTACAGTTCCTCATTGGGAAACTTGTTTTAACAGCTTGAAGCATCTCCAGAGGAGGAAGAATGTTGCATCTTTCTAACAAACATTTCTTCGTTTTCACTTCAAAGACATCAGAACAAAAAGGTTTCCAACACAGATGCTCTCTAACCCAGTCACTCCAGACACTCGATGGCTCATTAGAGTAATCATGTTTCACAATTCCTGGAAAACCTAATCTTCAGGAACCCAGTGGTGAAAAAATGATCAATCGCAGATGCTGTGCGTCCCTACAGGGACGTACGACAAGCATCGGGGTTAACCACCCATGGCTTTGCATTGGTAGATGAACATGAGCTATCTGCATCCGAACAGAGCAACAAACCACACAGGAGGCCATTACAGAGGGAGCCGTAACGCCAGCCCTCCCTGGTACCGCCGGCTTCTTTTGATTTATCATCAGGCTGCTCTGCGCACCGTACGGAGCAGGAGCCATGCTGATGTGTCCCCAGAGTCACTCTGCAATAAAATGAACCGTCATTGTTTTCTCACACAGCTAAACAAATTGCTTCATCAAAGCCACAACATGGGTCTTCCACCTTTAGCCATTTATCTGAGAGAGAAAAAGAAGTAGGGACCAAAGTAAGGCCTCCGGCTTCCCTTAAAGGGGAGTCTGGCAGACGTTCAATGTCTCCATGTTTTACCAAAATAAAGTACTGACAAGCCGGGGGCGTGTTAACACACCCACGCCACTTGGGCCTCATGTTTTATCCAAACTGAACATCTTTCTGGGAAACAAAGCTCACATGTGTCACTGTTGCCCCAATTGAAGATCATGTGACGAAGTCTCGGCAGCGGCTCCCTCCTAAAAATAAGGGATCCATAAATGAACGACGGTGCTTTGGGGAATAAATCAGAGCAGTTGCTGGTTGAATTCAAATAACCGGGTTAACCTTCGCTAACAAAGTTCCCAATGACTTTCCAAAGCGCAGTGCGAGCGAGAGGGCTCACTGTAATTCTCCATTTACACCCAGCTGTTCTTTTAATAATTTCCCACTCGTGTGCTCACAGCTTTTGTGTATCTAATTAGGATGAGACTTGTGAGGACAGTTTGAATCTCATTCTATTACCACAGAGGGCTTTAATTTCATGTGCTGAATAATGGGGTCCATGTTTTTGGGAAAAAGTGTGAAATCCTGAAATTTTGTGTTTTCATTTTTAATTTAAAGGAAGAAAAAGCTGCAATCCATTTAAAGAATATTTCATCAAGTAAAAAAACTTGGTGTGCATTCGTTTCTGACACCCTAAATAAAAGCCGGTGGAACATTTACTTTAAGAAAACACACCTTAAGAAAACTTGGACCAACTGAAAGTCTGCATTCAAACAGGAAGGTGACCCCAACATTCAGCCAGAGCTGCAGCGAAACAGATCTGACTAAAGGTTAACCCAGAGTCAGAACGGCCCAGTCAAAGTTCACATCCAATCAAGGATCCACAGTAAGGCTTGGAAATTGCTTTTCACTGACGATTCTCATCCGATCTAAGAGAACTAGAGTAATTCTTCAAAGAGCCGCCCTTGTTCATGTTGACATTAAGTGTTTGTGCGCCCTGCAAGTAATGCGAAGAACCCAAGCTCTAACCATCACAGCAAACAAGCAATTCCCCCCTATTGATCACATACATACATTATTTAAGGAGGCAACAAAAGACAATCTGTGTAAAGCAAATATTTGCTGTAAATTTTGCATCAGTCAGGAGAAATCGTCTTATATCCTTCATTCAGGAAACTGATCTAACCTTTAAGGTGTTGGATTGGGGCGACTTGCTTTCGGATTGAATCTAAAGTTTAAAAAAAGGATTAAGCTCAGAGATATAAAGATCCAGGGGTAAAAAACTGTAACAATGTCTAATTAGTTATTTCAAATACAGTCGCACATTTTGGCTGATTTTGCTTTGCCATCACATCTAAATCACAAAATGTATTTCTTAGACTAAGACAGACTTTATTGTCATTTTGTTCCCACAGAGTGTTTCATTCAGTGCAGCTCTCAAGACATTTCCCTTTTTAATGTGCCGCAGTGATAAAATGTAAACATAAGACTGGTTTCTGATTTACAGTTCCAAGGATTTTCAGCAATTACAACTGATAATTATGAACTGATAATGATTCAGAAACATTTAGTGAAACAGGACTTTCAGTAACAATTAAGTCAGTAATTTTCAAAAAAGGAAAAAAGAGTTTCCTAGCAACAAAGTATTTTGATTATTTTAGTCTTTGCTTTTGCCATAAAATAACATTTTAGATTAACACTTCTTTACCTCTTTACTCTTTGGGCCAATAAATGCAGTCCACACTGGGATATCTTCTCTGCCTTGCTGAAACCAAACCTAATCCCAGTAGGTTTCCAATTTCCAGTATGTTTGAACACTTATCCGCAGCTCAGTTATAGAGCTACAACCTACTCTATTATTGCACCAGTTGAGCCCTGCGGACAAACTGTGACCCAATCCAGTGATTTATAGGATCTATATTTTATGGGCGAAGCTGATTAATTCAGATGCCGTTTCTATGATTTATACCAACTTGCCAGAACAGAGTGGTCTATGTGAAGGTAAGAGAGTCCATACACGCCTGAAAATGAACTAACAAGCAAATGTTACCATAGATGGAAGCAACAAGATACATATGTAACTGTTAGAGAACCAAAGTTGGACTGTCAGAGTACTTTTTCATTGTGCACAGACACAAAAGAGAGGTTAGCCAGCATGAACAGACAAAATTATATATGAACAGGTCGACATAAATGTCTGGGCAAAATGTGCAAATTAACAGACATTCAGAGAAGTGAATGGATAAAGAAATAATGGATATACAGCTAAAGCAAATAGATCAACTTCATAAAGCCTTTTGCAATAAATATTGACCCACCATGGAAGAAAAAAAATAAAGTGAAGAAATGCACACACAAAAACACAGATCTGTGGCTAACGATTAGTCAAATCCATGGCCAAGTGGCACCTCAACAAAGTAAGGCTAGATCTGAATATCTCAAATTGTAGCTCTTACCTCCTATCCCTTCACCTTCTGCGAGGTCAACAGTAAGAACTCTATCCAGGGATGTTCAGGCTGCCTTACTGAATCCAGAAAGCCTTCACCCTTATGGACGTCATTACGCTATGGGTACACACATGTTTGATGAACCTTCAAGAAAATCACAATAAAACACAAGAGTTACACAAATGTAGTTAAAGGCCAAAGCGCTTTCTTTAAAAAACACAAAACATATGAAGGCGAGAACATTAGCTGCATCACACAGAGTACAATAATGTATATTTTGTAAACACTGTGTGGTGGGCTGTGCCTTTACGTCAGGTCACACAAAGGATTGTGGGCAACCATATGTCTCCAAGTGGCAACTAGAGGCGTTAGGCGATCACTATGCTAACTGCATTGGCGTTAGGAAGCATACTGCTTCCTGGTCCAAGCTCCTCTCAAAGTGCCAGAACTTTTCAAATGGCACTCTCTATGTGGCCGCTGACACACATTAGGCATCACTTAAGTGTCCATACTGATTTTGAGATATTGAATTCGATCCTAATGTTCAGTCAGACTAGTCTTCTCACTAAGTCACACCATTAAGAAAACAGTTGACGTGCCACAAACTGCAAAATCGTCCCGCTAACGGAGAAAGGCAAGCCAGAGTGAAAAAAGCATTACCTGAAGCATTTAATGAGGCATTTTGTCTGATCAGCAAACCTTAAGGAAAAGACAGCAGGTAAGTTTTTTTCCCTAGATCAAGCCATTTAAGTTATTAAATGTTTTCCACAGACAGGAAGAATAATAAGGGACAGAATCAGCCTGGCTGAGAGTCATGTTGTGTCCAGTGCCTTTTGTGGTTACAAACGAGGATACAGGACATAAACCAGAGTGTGAAAACTTGAACCAACTTTTCATGGTGAATATAATCAAACACTGCAAGCTTGTTCATCTTTTACATTTTTAAAGTCGTAGGGAAGCAGCTGTTTGAACGGTTCCAGTTCCGAATTCTCCCGAGTGGTGCCCGACTTTACACAAGTGAATCGAGTGAATGTGATTGGTCAAATATCAACGGCGCGGGATTGTTGCGGCGGAAGGTTTGTAAGCAAATTTGGTTGTGGCCGGTTTGTCAGAAGCATCTTGCTAACCTGTTAGCAACTTATTGCTAGTAGGTTCCCAATGGGAATTTCCATTGGGACCAAGTAGCACTTAGCAACGACACTGTCAAGGAACGCTATGGACAGAGGAAACATGCAAGAGGAGGAGAGTTTTGTGTCGGAGGTTTTGGATGAGTCTCCATCATACATTTTTTATTTAGAGGAGGAAAGCGGGGACGAAGCTGTTGTGGAAGAGGACGCCAGGGCGGCAGAAGCTTGGTTTGGTGTAGAAGGCTTACAGCCGTACATGTTTGAGCCCTTGCCTCGCAACGCTGCCAGTTCTGTTAGCTCTACGCCTGCTGAAGACACA